AGCCTCTGCTGTCCTGTATTCTGCATCAGGGACCTCGTGGCCACAGGTGGAGGGGTCTTTGAGGACCTGGCATTGCTGGTGGGCTCATGGGGGGCAGGGTTCTCAGAGGGCTCAAGGGCTCGCGTGCTGGCAGAGCAGTGATGCGCTGTGTGCAGGGCGGTGCTGTGGCATCCACGTCCGCTGGGATTGTGACCTGGATGTCGGGGGCTCAGACTCCCAGCCCCATGACTCCTTCCAGCTGCAGGAGAGGAGCTCCAACTTCAGGTGTGGCCCCACTGCCCGCCCGCTGCTCCTCAGCCAGGTCCTCCCCAACCTGTCCTCCTGTGGCAGCCGGGACAGACCACAGCCTGACCCATCCCTCTGGACACTCTGCTGTGTGTGTGAGGGGGTCCCAGGGCAGGAGGGGTCTCAGCTCCAGGTCCCCCAGCACAGGCTCCATCCAGCCTCCCTCCTGAGCCCTTTGGCCTCCACCCCATCTGTCCCCACACCCTGCTGCAGCTGAGACCCCTCACCCCAGCCCCTCCTCCACTCCGCCCTGCCTCCAGCACCTCCCTCCATGGCACCAGGGCTTTCTTTTTACTTTTCCCTTAAGGTTTTATCTAAAAATTACAAGAATCTCCAGAAAACTTCAAGGATCAGTACTGTGAAAACCCATTATAGCCTTCATCTGGATTCTCCAGGTGTTTTGTTTTGTTTTTTTGTTTTTTAACATTCTGCCCTGTTTCCTTTCTCTCTCCCTCTGTAAAGAACCGGGTATGTTTAGATGGATTTCACAGCAAACTGTTGGAAAGTAAGTGGCAGATATCTGGACACTCACCCCTCTCAACGCTGTCTTGAGAATGAGGACCTTCCCTGGGTGATCGCTGTCCTCTTGTTACACTCAGGGAATGTAACATTGGCAGATAAATTGAATGTTTAGATTTCCCCAGCTGTGCCAATAATAGTTCTCAGTCTTTTTATTTTCCAATCCAGGATTCACTCAAGGCACTTACATTGTAAGTACTGTCATGTCTTTGTCTCCTAAGCAGACCTGTCTCATCCTTCTGCCACTTTGTGTCACCTTGTCACCCTCATGCATACATGCACACAGCCACCAGGCATGGAGGTGACGTCCTGTGACACTGGCCGCTGGACCCTCCTGGCCTTGCTTCACTGGCCTCCCCAGTCCTTTGCAACCATCTGGGGCTGGACCCGCCCACGCCCTGCTCCCCTCACCTCTGCGCTCTCCCCGCCCTCTGTCTCTGCCTAGAGCTCCTTCCTGAGCCCTGGGAATCCAGCCTGAGGGGTTCCCAGCAAGAAGTCTTCCCTGGTTCCTGGGGGAGAGTGAGTGCCCCTCTCTGGACACCACAGGCCCGGGCCTGCCCCACCTCCCCCCCCACTGCCAGTGTCTGTTTAGGGACCCTTCTGTCCCCATCCCCAGCAGGCAGGGAGCTTGTGAGAGGCAGGTCCCAGCTTGCTTGTCCCCTGTGTCCTCAGCACTGATAAAGGGCTGAGACCCAGGACTCAGGCTGGGGTGGATGGAGTCAGTGGATGAGTAAGATGAGGCCTGTGAGGGCCAGGCCACCCAGGTGTGGGCAGAGCAGCCACTGGACTCTCTCCTGCCCCAGGACAGCCGGTCACTGGTGGGAGATTTCAGGGATGGAGGCCCAGAGCCTGCTCAGCTCTACGGGATCTGCTTCAACATCCTCGTCACTGGGCAGGTAGGGGTCAGGCTGGGGTAGGTGGGGGCAGGCAGTGGTGAGGGGCAGGAGAGGGGGACAGCCACAGGCAGACAGGCTCAGCCTAGGTCTCTCTCAGGCAGGGAAGTTCGGGCTCATCCCCACAACCCTCACTCTGGGGTCTGGAGAGGCTCGGTTGGGTGTGGTGAGTCTGGCCAACATGGCTCCCTCTGGCTGCAGGCAAACACGTGCCCCTCGGGTGACCACCAGAGCCCTTTGTGCTGACAGTGAGTCTCTGGGTGAGGGTTGGGGAGGCAGTGGGATGGCAGGTTGGGACCAGGCCATGGGTCTGCCCTGCCTCTCCCGGATCACCCCCTTCTGTGACCTGCTGCTGTTGTACGTGGATGGAGAAGCCCATTTCTACTGGAGGACCAAGCATGAGGAGGGGGCTGCGGGCCTGCCTGACCCTGGGCTACACTTTGGAGAATGGTGGCTGGAGCCCCATCCTGCTGTCCTCATCTGCAGGTAAAATCCTGAAAGGGGACTGCCAGCCCTGAGCAGACAGGTGGCTTCCCCACCCCCACGTGCAGCTGCCCAAGTGCCTTAGAGGGGGCCCAGCACCTGTCCCCACTGCTGCTGCTGGGAGATGGACACCATCACCAGACGGGCCTGGCACCACTCGCTGGCCCATTCCTGAGGCCTGTAGCCTTTCTCTGCTGGTTGGGGGTTGAGGGATGGGGATTGGGGGCTAGCAAGAGTGGGGACCCAAACTTGGGGCTTCATGGATGAAGCCATGGTAGGACCAGGGCAGGGGTGGGGGGAGAATTCCACCCTTCAGCTCCCAGGCAGACTGTCCCTCCCCCACTCCAGCCTCGGCAGGTGCTACCTGGGGACCACAGAAGCCAGTTTCGTGTACAGACTGCAGGGAACAGATGCAGGGCCCTGGTCCAGTGGGGCTCCGGCTGGGGTTGGGGCTGGAGACGCTCTCCCAGACTCCGTCTCCAGCATTCCCAGCAGCTCCCTGCTTTCCAGTTGTCCACCACACTGGCTGTGGTCGCCTCCAGCCCTGCCTGGCTCCCAGCCCTCCTCCCCCTGCCGGCACCCCCCTCACAGGGAGAGCCCCTGCCCTCTCAGCTGCCCTGCACTGGGGTCTGTGCAGCCAGATTCCAAGGCCAGAGAGAAGGCAGCCTGGCAGGAGGAGCTGTGGCAGCTGCTCTGTGCTGGGTTCCCAGGGCAGGGCCCTTCCCAGCTCTAAGCCTCATCCATGGAGTGAGGAGTGTGGGGGGCAGATGATCTGACCCCCTAGGAACCCAGGCAAGGGCATGGGCATGTCTTGGGCCCCTACCTGCTCAGCTGATGAGCATCAGCCCCTTCCTGGTTGCAGCCCTGGGGCTGTGGAGGGGTGGGATGGGGGGAAGGGGAGAGGCTGAGCAGGTGGGTATGGGGTCCTTTGGGACCTTCCATCTGTCTCCTTGGTAACACCAGCCCAATGCCCTGGAATGTGCCTACCAGGCTTCCTGGGAGCCATGGGGTTGGGTCTGTATATTTGGACACATGTCACTACTGCCCAAAGTCACAGCTAAGAACATGTCTGGGCAGCTGCCCACTCAGCCTGAGGCAACTGTATGAGGACCATGCTCTGACCTAGACCCCAGGTGGAGTTCAGGGGCTGGAGAGAAAGTCCCTAACAGAGGACATGGAGCCCCCAGCAGGCTGGCCTGGTTCAGGCTCTGGAATCCTCCTGGGAGCCTGAGGCCTTCCTGCTGGAGAATTTCCCCATGTCCCGGTCCCACGGTCAGGAGGGGAGGGATGGGGCTGCAGGAGCCAAGCCCTCTCTGGGTCCCAGGGAGGGGCAGGGTTTGGTGTACCTACCCCAGGGAGACAAGGGGCTGCCTCCTCATGGGTCCCTGGTGAGCTTGGCCATGCTGGCAGCTTGCTGTTGGAGTGACTTGGGCCAGGCTGGGTGGGGGAGGCCTGGGGCTCAGGCTGGGCAGCATCTGGAATCATCTGGCACCTGGAGCCTCAGCAAAGCCTTGGGGTCCCTGCTGCCTCTCACCCCCAGGGCAGTGTCCATGGAGGTGGGTTCAGAAGGGCTAGGGTGAGAGATCATGGCCCTGAGGCCTTGTTCTTGGAGTGGGGTCACGTGTCCCTGGTTGTCCTTGGGGCCCAGACAAAGTGATGTTGAGGCTGCAGAGAGTCGAGGAGTAAAGCTGCCAAAGCCAGCAGCTTCCTGTGTGGTCCTCACAGACAGGAACCAGGAGGGGGAGGCGTCTATGGTAAACAGAGCACGGCGGGTGCAGGGTGGGCCTGGGGACCCCCAAGCCTGGGGCTCCACAGCCACCAGGTGGGCTGGAGGTCCCTGGAGCAGGTCCAGCTGCCTGTGCACCAACTTGCCTGCGTGTGTCCCATCCTAAGCCTTTGTCACAAAGACCTGAGGGGGCGGCAGGGAGAGAGGCTGCTGGAAGCTGTGGGCAGCCCTGGGCTGGGAAACAGCTGCTACCTCAGTCTGCACATGGGTGCACACCCAGGGAACCATGTGGGCCATGTGGGCATGTGCCTGAGAGATGCGTGTGCCCGGGCAGGGGGGCCTCTCCATCCCGGGCAGGCGGACATGCCCTGGTCTCTGGGAGCCCTGGGAAACTGAGGGAAACCCGGAACTGCACTGCCCTTTCTAGGCGGCCTCCTTGGAGTCCAGGCTCTGCTCTCTGGACGTGACCCTGAGGGGACATGAGGGGAGCCTGGGAGGGAGCCTGGCCCTGCCCTGTCAGGGACCCCTCTAAGCCTGGTGTGTATAGCTCCCTTCTGAGCTGAGCAGAGGGCACTGGCCTGAGTGCAGGACCCCAGGACCTAGGCCTGGATGTGTCCCTGACTCAGGACTGTCCCAGTGCTGGTGCCTCCCCCTTACACAACCTCAGCCACTTTGCTCTGGATTGGGAACAATCATCTGGTTCCTGGGGGGCAGGTGAGGACTCTGTGCCAAAAGGAACACCACAGTGGACATGGCAGCAGGCCACTTGGCTGCCTGAGCAGTTATTACTGTGGGTCCCTGGGACTCAAGTCTCCTCCCTGCCCGCCCTACTTCACCTGCCCAGGTAGCTGGAGTTGGTCATAAACTGGAAGGTGCTAAGCAGAGTCTACCACACCAGCGCTGGCCATGGCCCACTCCCGAAGACTCAAAGCTCGGCACCTGGGCTGAGGTCCTGAGGTCCTGAGGTCCTCAGGACCTGAGGACCCCCCGGCATGGGCAGGTATGCAAACCCAAGCTGCTCTGGACAAATGGGGCTGCCAGACCCTCTGGCTTCCCGAGGAGGTGTGGGAGGGTGGGCAGGTCCCCAGTCATCCTCATAGACTGGTGGGCTGCTCCGTGTGGCTTGGCTTCTGGGCCGATGCCCGGCTGGGGGGATGCAGGGCTGGCACCGTCTCCTCCAGGCTGCCATGTGGGACAGTCAACCCCGGCTGTTCCCGCTGGTTCTCCTTGCTGTGCCAGATGCCGTAGCCAAAATACACCATGAGTCCTGCAAGGGTGGCACAAGCCTGAGGGACAGTTCCCAGCCCCGCTTCCCTGCTTGCCCTCCTCCTGCAGCCCCCCAGGGTCGCAGCCTGGCCCCCACTCACCGATCAGCAGCCAGATGGAAAAGACCAACCAGATCACATAGCTCAGGTGCAGCATGAGGAAGATGTTGAGGAGGATGCTCAGGGCGGGAGTCAGGGGCACCATGGGAACCTGAGGGGACAAGTGCAGGGCTGGGCTGCAGGGAAGGGCTGCTGGCCCAGGGCCTGATTTCTCGGGAGTCCACAGAGCCTTTCTCTGCCTCTGGAGATTCTGGAGATAAGGGCCCACCTGCCACGCAGAGAGAGGGATGTGGGGCACTGGCCTCCCCCACCCTGCAGCCCTGGTGCATCCTGCCACTGCAGAGGAGGAAGGGGCGAAGGGAGCCGGCTGGGCAGAGCACGGTGAGTGCTGGCTGGAGGAAGTACCTGAAAGGTGTCCTGCCGGCGCTGCTGCTGGTGGGCCCCCAGGACGAGGAGACTGAGCAGAAAGGTGGCGGAGCTGAGCAGGAGCAGCAGGGTGTAGCCCCAGGGAGGGAGGTGCAGGGCCGAGTCCCCAAAGACCAGCACGCAGTCCAGGGTGATGGCCGAGGCCACCAGGACACCGAGCACCCAAGCCACAGCAGCTCCAGGCCTGCACCCACCCAGGAAGCGGAGGTAGGGCCTCAGGGCTGCTCGCAGTTGCCTGGGCTCAGGGGCTGAGTCCTGCTCTGTGCCCACAGGGCTGCCAGGGTGCTGAGAAGTGGATGGAGGGGACTTTCGGAAGCGTAGAATGATGATGCTGGTGGGCACGAAGGTGTAGTCCAGCAGTGCACCAATGGAATGGAACTGGACCAGTGCCTGGAGGTCCAGCAGCAGTGCCAGGAAAGCCATGAGGACCCCAAACACCAGGAGGCTCACCACAGGCACCTGTGTCTGGGGGTGCACGCGGGCAAACCCCTGGAAGAAGAGCCTGTCGGTGGCTATGGCAGAGACCATGCGTGGCAGGAAGAAGATGTACCTGAGCAGGACAGTGGTCATGGCTGTGACAGAGGGTGGGAGACTGGTCAGTGTGGTGGACAGGCCCTGGGGCAACTGCTGGGAGCAAGGGCATGGGTGGCCCCTTGAGAACAGAGGCATGAGTTTAGGCTCTGAGAGTGAGCCTGAGTGTATGTGGGTGCTGGATTGTTCCCCCTCACCACCCAGGAATTGGGCACCCCAGTTTAGGTGACAGGCCCACCGGAGAATCTGATGAGGGCTGAGTCTCTCTGCCTGGAAGGATCTGGAAGCACATCCCAAGAACTGACATTCTGTGTAGAACTGGGAGGAGTGGTGAGTAGGTCGCTTCCCACAAGCCTGGGTGGAGAGTCTAATCATTAGCACCTTCCTGGGCCCAGGATGTGACTGGGAGCACAGGCCCAGATGGAGATGTGTGCCCTGGAGGCTTAGGGCAGGGCCCCACCACTCTGTTCCCTCCCACCTTGCCCAGATGGGCCCCTTACCACAGATTGCACCAGCTGCCATGATGAAGCCCACCCAGCTATAGCCTCTCTGGTGGAAGGCGTCAGCGAGTGCCCAGTCAGGGTCCAGGCTGTGTCATGGCACCATGAGGGTGAGGACTGTGGAGACAAGGATGTAGGCACCAGCCGCCAGGCCAAGCGAGATGGTGATGGCCATAGGCACTGCTCGCTTCGGGTTCCGGGCCTCCTCACTGTAGTTAGCGACGACATGAAAGCCCATGAAGGCATAGAAGCAGGTGGCGGCACCGGCCATGATGCCAGAGAAGCCAAAGGGTGCAAAGCCGCCCTCCTCAGTGCTCCAGTTGTGCGGATGGGCCAGGACAAACCCCAGGATGATGATGAAGAGGATGACAACCATGGTGATAACAGAGAAGGTGTGGGTGAGCCAGGAAGAGACACGGGCTCCACAGAAGATGAATGTAGAAGCCAAAAGAGGGATGACAGCAGCCCAGAAGTCTGGGTACTGGCTGAGGAAGGGCACCTGCCAGATGCCCACATGGGCCTCGGTGAAGCTCTGGATGCGGTGGCTAAAGATGGAGTCCAGGTAGCTGCTCCAGGCACGGGCCACAGCGGCGCCAGTAATGAGGCACCTGAGGAGCACGTTCCAGCCAACGAGGAAGGCCCACAGCTCACCCATGGACACGTAGGTGAACAGGTAGGCAGAACCTCTGCCGGGCACATGCACCCCTAACTCCGTGTAGCATAGGGCTACCAGCAGGGAGGCGATGGCAGCCACGCCAAGGGACACGACCACTGCAGGGCCTGCCATCCCCTTGGCCACGGTGCCCATGAGCATGTACAGCCCCAAGCCCACCATGCCACCCACACCCAGCAGGATCAGGTCCAGTGTGGTCAGGCGGCGCTGCAGCAATGTCTCCTTGGTGGGCTCCTCCAGTGTCTTCACCCGGTTCAGCTTCTGGCAGACGCACACCAGGCTGGCGGTGCTGGGCAGCCCCCAGGCCATGGTGGATGGCTGAGATGAGCACCAAGCCAGATGTCCACACCTACAAGAGCCAGAGGGAAGTGACAGACTGCCCTAGGTCCTGACGAGCCTTCAGTCCTTGTTCTGACCCTGCCCTGGGGACCCAAGCCTGGAACCACTGGCAGCTGCAGGGCTGGATGAGGCAGGCTCAGGGCCTGGCAGCAGGTGGGCAGGAGGCCACAGGGAAGCATGGGGATCCCTTTGAACTGCCCCCTGGGCAAGGGAGCTCAGGTGAATCAGGACCTAAGCATGTATGGGAGGGGCTCTGAGGTGGGGAGGAAGCAGCCCCAGGACCCCTGCACACAGATGTGCTACCACCCAGCCATTACAAGAGCTCATTTCACCACACTCCTCTCCTCAGGTACCCAAGCCTTCACCTCCTCTCCAACCTGAGTCCATCCCCACAGGACTTGCTGCAACTCACCTGCTTTGCCTCAGTGGCCCTCATAGTTCTGCACCTACACCTACCCATGTGTGTCAGATCCAGCACTGGGCCCTGCCTCGTGGTCACACACACACCCTGCCCACACCTCACATGGTCAAGACCAGAGCTCCCCAGGTTCTGGGGAAGCCCTATGACTGCCCGCTTCACAGATGAGGAAGCCCAGGCCACCAGGCAAGTGACTAGCCCAGGTCACCAGGGTGGCCTTGGGAGGCAGGTGGAGGCTAAGGTCCAGGTCTGGGTGGGGTATGGAGCTCACCTGCTTTCCACTGCTGCAGATGCTCTCCTTGATCCCTCATCCCAACACACGAACTCCACCAGCTGGGCACCATCCAGGCCCCTCGACCCTGGGAGGTGTGGGGGCTGCGGGTCTCAGGCAAGATGCTGGTAAGATGAGGGTCTGAATGCGGCTGAGAGGCCCTGGGCAGTCCCTGACCTCTGGCACAATGGGATGGCAGTAAGCCACTTCATCCACTGAAGAGGGAGCGCCCAGCTGTGGGGAGTGTTCTGTGAATTGGCAGAGCTCATTGTGGCTGTTCTGAGCTTCTAGCTACAGACAGTGTCCTGAAAGGAGGCAAGCAGACCCCTGGGGACGACCTCCAGCCCTCCAGCTTGGGGCACCCATAGGGAGCCTCAGATACCGATGGCAGCTCCTCCCAGCTCAGGAGCACCTGTCAAGCCTGGAGGACCCTCAGGGACCCTAACAGCAGCTTCCACTTATTGATATCCATGAGAGATGTCATGGGCTGAGCATCTGCTCCATACCAGTCCCTGCATCACGGGGACACATCACGTGTCTCATCACACGACCATCACACACCCCCTCAGCCTTCTTTATTCCTCGGGCTGAGGGGTCTTTGTCCTTCTGCTCTTCCCACTCCTTTGAAAGTGGAAAGGCTGGTGTGACAGGGTGTGAACTTGTTTACAGCAAAATGAGGACAACCCATCCAAGCAAAGCAAAACCAAATGAGATGTCCTTTTCCCTCAGAACTTTCTCCAGGTTTTTGGGTTTATATTTCATTTGCAGAATAGAGCTTTAGCAGGCTGTCTGGCTCAGCAGGCTGGTGACAGGGTGGTGGACTCCCAGAACAGATGGTGCCACCTGGAGCACTCTACTTTAGCCAGCCCCTTGCTCCCTTCTGGTATTTGGCTGATGTTGTCTTGAGGAGCTTCTCAGATGAGCTCCGACTTCCTGCAGGGGTGACCCCTCCCGCACCTCGCTCCTTGTGGCCTAAACATAACTGAGCAGAGTTCCTTGTTCTGAAACGCTTTCACGGAAACCCAGAAAAATGCATTTCCAACCAAGAGGCCTGGGCAGTTGTGTAACAGGAGCTCCCCCAGGGCCTGACCGACGGCCACCTGAGAGCTGGTGTGCAGGGTTTCAGAGCACTGACTTTTCATCTACCCAGAGAAGGGCTCTCATCACATCCCTTTCACAGGGGCGAACATCCAGTGGATACTCGTGGCCAAGCATGGTCGACACAGTAAACTGTAAACTTCCAGTGACATGGCTGGGCCAAGTGCTGGGCCCCACTGAGCAAGGCAGTTACACTGAGCAACACATGGAGATGCAGTGAAGAGAAAGCACCAAAAATATAAGGAGAAGAAGAGAGAACACTTCCCACCTCATCCTACACAGCCAGGAGCACACTGACACCAAACCCAACAAAGACATCACAAGGAAAGAAACCACAGGCCAACATCTTTTATGAATATAGATGCAGGATTGCTCAACTGAGTACCAGCAAATCGAATCCAGCAACATATAAAAAGGGCCAAGCGGGATTTATCCCAGGAATGCAAGATTGATTTAACATCTGAAAGTCAATCAATGGAATATGTCATACTAACAGAATAAAGGGCAAAAACCACATGATTGTCTCAACAGACACAGAAAAAAACAGTCAACAAACCTGGCCTGGAAGGGACCGCCCTCAAACTGACGAAGACCATCCACGAAAACCCCTCGGCTGCTGTGCTCAGTGGAGAGACACTGAAAGCTTTCCCTTTGCTCAGGAACAACATCGGGAGGTCCTCTCTCCACTTGTATCCAACACTTTACTGGGGGCTCTGGCCATGGCAATTAGGTGAGAACATGAGATAAAAGGAATCCAGATTGGAAAGGGAGGAGTAAAACTATCTCTAGCCTCAGATGACATGATCTTATGTTAGAGAAAACCCTAAGGAATCCACACAAAAAAATATTAGAACTGATAAACCAGTTCAGCAAAGGTGCAGGACACAAGATTAATATACAAAAATCAATTGTATTTCTATACATTAGAAATGAAATACCCAGAAATGAAATTATGAAAACAATTCACCCCACATAGCAACAAAAAGAATAAATTTACTTATAAACATACTTAGAATAAATTTAACAAAAAAATGCAAAACTTGTACTCTTAAAACTACTAAACATCACTGAAAAAATTTAAAGAAGACCTAAATAAGTGGAAAGACATCCCACGTACATGAACTGGAAAATTTAATATTGTCAAGATGGCAATACTCCCAAATTGGTCTGCAGATCCAGTGCAACTCCTATCAAAACCCCAACTGCCTAGTTTTCAGAAATTATCAAGTTGATCCTAAAATTCATGTGGAGATGCAAGGGACCCAGAAGAGCCAAAACCATTTTGAAAAAGAACAAAGTTGGAGGACTTACATGCTCTGATTTCTAAACTGACTACAAAGCTACAGGAATCAACACTGTGTGTTACTGACATAAGGAGAGACATAGATCAATGGAATAGAGTTGAGACCCCAAAAATATGGGCAATTGATTTTTGAAAATTTATTGCCAATTTAAATTCATGACCAATGATTGTTTTAAAAATAGACTTTACTTTTTACAGCAGTTTTGGGTTCACAACAAAACTGAGCAGAAGGTGGAGTTCTCACATACCCCCAGCCCCTACACAGGCATAGCCTCCCCCACCTTCAGCATCCCCCAGCAGATTGGTAAAGTTGTTACAACTGAGGAACCTGCATTGACACATCATTATCACCTACAGTCCATGGTTTACATTAGGGCTCACTCTTAGTGTTGTACACTCTTGCTGTTTTGACAAATGTATAATGACGTGTACACACTATTACAGTAAGCCCTAAAAATCCTCTGTGCTTCACCCATCCATCCCTCCCTCCCCACTAACCCCTGGCAACCACTGATCTTCTCACTGCCTCCACAGTTCGGCCTTTCCAGAAGGTCATATAGTGGGAATCGAATCACACACCATGTAGCCTTTTCAGGTTGGCCTTTTTCGCTTAGTAATATGCATTCAAGGTTGTCTCATGTCTTTTCTTGGCTTGATAGCTCCTTTCTTTTTAGTGGCGAGTAATATTTGTTGTCTGGATGTACCATGCTTTATTTATCCATTCACCTACTGAAGGACATCCTGGTTGCTTCCAAGTTTTGGCGATTATGAATGAAGCTGCTGTAAACACCCATGTGCAGGTTTTTGTGTGGATATAAGTTTTCAACTCAACTGAGTAAATATCACGCAGTGTGGTTGCTGATTCATATGGTAAAAGTATGATTAGTTTTGTAAGAAACTGCCAAACTGTCTTCCAAACTTGCTGGGCCATATTGCATTCCCACTAGCAATGAATGAGGGTCCCTGTTGCTCTGCATCCTCGGCAACATTTGCTGTTGTCAGTGTATTGGATTTCTACCATTCTAACAGATGTGTACTGGCATCTCGTTGTTTCAATGTGCAGTTCCCTAATGACACAGGATGTGGAGCATCTTGTCATAGGCTTATTTTCCAACTGTCTATCTTCTTTGGTGAGTTGTCCAGATCTTTTGCCCATTTTCAGTTGGGTTGTTGGTTTTCTTACTGTCGATTTTTAAGAGTTCTTTGTATATTTTGGATAATAATCCTCTATCAGACATGTCTTTTACAAATGTTTTCTTCTAGTTTATGCCTTGTTTCCTCATTCTGTTGATGGTCAATTGATTTTTGACAAGAGAGCCAAAACAAATCAATAGGGGAAAGAAGAATCTTTTCAATGCACTGTGCTGCAGCAACTGGATATCCACAAGCAAATGAGTGAAGTCAGACTCTTAACTCACACTGCATACAAAAACTAACTCAAAAATCAATCAAAACCTAAATCTAAGAGCTGAAAGGATACAGGCATACCTTGGAGGTATTGTGGGTTCAATTCCAGACCACCACAATAAAATGATTATCACAATACAGTGAGTCACACAAATTTTTGGTTTCCCAGTGCATATGCAACGCATGTTTACACTATACTGTAGCCTATCAAGTGTGCAAAGTATTATGTATAAAAAAGAATGTACTTTAAATGTAACTTAAAAATACTTTATTGCTAAAAAATGCTAACCATCATCTGATCCTTCAGTGAGTCATAATCTTTTGCTGGTGGAGGGTCTTGCCTCGATGTTGATGGCTGCTGACCGATCAGGGTGGTGATTGCTGAAGGTTGGGGTGGCTTTGGTAATCTCTTAAAATATGCCAACAAGGAAGTTTTCACTTTGATTGACTCCTCCTTCCATGAAAAATTTCTC